ATCATATGCTTTTTCAAATCTCTTCTTCAATGTAGTCCTATGTGCCTATTTAGTCTAAATGAAGATGATCACAGAAATAATGTTTCCTACAGAAGGAAAATACTCAGATGAAAGGTTGTCACATTTCTAGATCTACTCCTTAAAAATGCCTAGCTCTACTCTTTCTGGTGTACCCAAACCACACTTGGCATTAATGTAGAAATATGCTGTACAGAAGAGAGCAAATTGAAAGCAGAAAGTCTAGTAGATGAAGCATGCAAGAGATTGTGAATTTTCTTTTATAATGTATAAAGAGTAAAAATTATTTCTCCTATGGTTTTATAAACTTAATTCTTAGACCAAATTATAAATTTTAATTTAATACTCATCCATTGGTTTTTCCCACAATCCTTGGAGATTAAAACACTGTAAAACAGATTGAACCTATATACTTGCTGTTTGTATGTTGGGCACTTACTAAATGGTAGTTTGCTGAAATGAATATTTCTGGTTCTCTTTCTGCTGTCTGTACACTTTGTTTCCATGCCTTTCAAGAAGATTCATTCATGGTTTGCCAGAGCACTGCGTGGTTCCACTGAGCTCCAAGAACTGTGGAAGGCTGGTCAGATGTGTCAATAACTCCTCCCTCTCTTGCCTTAGGTCAAAGGATCTCATAAAAGAGGCCATCCTTGACAATGACTTCATGAAGAACTTGGAGCTGTCGCAGATCCAGGAGATTGTGGATTGTATGTACCCCGTGGAATATGGCAAAGACAGCTGCATCATCAAGGAAGGAGATGTGGGATCCCTGGTGTATGTCATGGAAGGTATGGTTAGTAACCTGCTCCTCTGCCCCTCATTCTTTCCCAATCCTCCCAGCTTCCCAAAGACTGCAGTGCATTCTGTGGAACAATGCTTGTCTTCCTTCTTTCATTGGGAAACAATTTGCAAGGAGCTACAATACCACGAGGTACCATGGTTGTCTAATTATATGAAGTTTTGGTGTTTGGAAGATTAATATAGGGATTCCATATGTTTTCACAACTGGAGAAAGTCAATAGTGTGAAAACAATACTGTCTGCAACTGAGTGAGACTGCGCACAGTTCCACTGCTGAGCATGTTGACAATATGTCAATGATAATTTAAGATGATGGGAAGTCTTTTAGGTCAGGTCATCCAGGGACTTCAACTCTACTCTTAACATTTAATACATGACTAGGTTTCCTGTTATGGTTCTTTCAGGTAAAGATGATATTTCAGTTCCTTGCATGCATGTGTGTGTGTGTGTGTATATATATATATATATAGTGTATATGTATGTTTGTATGTATATGTACATATATATCAGAGACAGTGAAGGCTGAACTGCATATTAGCTGTCTACTAAGAGGGCTAGCAGGTTTCACAAAGCAGAAGGCTAAATGTGTTGTCTGGTTCTATAAAAGAGGAGATTGAGAATCGAAGAGAATATACCATTTTCTAGTTCAGTTCTGGTAGTTAGCCAATCTTGATTCAGTGATGTGGGATTTCCCTCTGTATGCTGTGATTACCGTTAATGAATAAAGAAACTGCTTTGGACATATTTAGCAAGGCAGAACTTAGGTAGGTGGGGAAGACAGAACTGAATGCTGGGAGAAAGAAGGGTGGAATCAGTGAGAAGCCAGAGACAGATGCTGGGAACTTTACCCGATAAGCCACTGCCACATGGCTATACAAAGATTAATGGAGATGGGCTAAATTAATATGTAAGAGTTAGCCAATAATAAGCTAGAGCTAATGAGTCAAGCCGTGATTTAATTAATATGGTTTCAGTGTGCTTATTTTGGGGGCTAAGTGGCTGGGAACCAACAAGCAGCTCTCTCTCCCTCCTGCAATTCAGCACATAAACACTTTACTATGAGGGTATATCCAGGTTCTATAGAGAAACAGAAAAAAACATATAGTTTGTTGTAGCCATATGTAGATACTTTACTATATTTATATTTGTATGAATAGAAAAAAAATTGTCTTGAAATGGGCTCATGTGACTGTGGTGGCTGTCCAAAATGCTCAGGGCAACAATTGTAGAATTCCCTCTCCTAAGGTGGGAGGTCAGCATTTTGTCTATTTAGGCCATCAACTGATTGAGGACTTCCATTCACATTTTGTATGACAATAAGCCTAACTCAAAGTTTACTCCTTTAAATATTACTCTCATCTATAAAACACTTTGAAAGAAGTATCTAGGATAACAATTAAGCATGTGTCTGGTATCCTTGGAAGCCAAGTAGATATTTAAAGTCACACAAGTCCATCGTATGCCAACAAGATACAACTTTGGTGTATCTAATACATAACCATGAACATCAAGCTCATATTCTAACACCAGGAGCTGCCCTATACAACTGAAAATGAATGAACTCTTTCCCCAGAAAAAGATCTAAGTCTTTGGGCTGCCAACCATTTCCCAAATAAAGACACGAAGACTAATTATTAATTATGAATGCTTGGCCTAGCTTAGGCTTTTTCCCCCTCGCTGTTGGCCATTCAACTTTTATTAGATCAATCAGGTGCCTTAGGTAGGCAAGGTAAAACAGCAATGCATTTTAGCTAAACAAATACTCTGCAACATAAGCTAATGCAATGCATATTTACATAGTTAAGCAAATGTAATACATTTTTCATAGTTAAACAAATATTCTAAAACAAAAGTCCTTCTGTTGATGTTCCCTTATCCTGATGATATCCTATAACATAAATATTATGATACAAAACAAACAACATTTGGATACTATGATGCAAAGTTCATACCTCATATGTTAAGGAGAATTTAAAAACCAACTGTGTTCTCATACAAAATGGGCAAAAACGCTCATCAGTGACCATATTACTTCCTTTAGTAAAGATAAATACAGAATTTTCACTACTGTCTCAAGCTAACTTGAATAAATTTTATCTTCTTTTCACTGTTAGATTGACTAAACAGCATGCCATTACCTATTACAAACCCTATTTTAGTTATCATTTTAAAAACAATACTTTAAATAATACGTCAATATTCAGAGTCATGGATATTGTGTTTTTGCTATTGATTGTCTTTAATAAACTCAATAGAAATGACCATAATCCTATAAACTGATGCCAGCCTTTCTCTAAACAGAAATTAAAATCCTCTCAGTATAGCTTTTATTGATTTTGTGCTTTTACCTTTAGGTCAAAGGGATTTAAAATGAAAAACTTTATCATCAAATTTTTACAAATTTTAATTGAGGAACCATTTTATAGCATAATTAGGTTTTTTAAGGCAACACATTCAATCTTCTCAGAGCTTACACAGCAATGTTCTTGATATAGAAGGGTTCTTTTCATCTGTGGACATTAATATTTATGAAGAATATAGCATGCAATAGTAAATGGATTGGCTCTGAAGGATCTTTCACAAGCCTGCTATCAAGATGTCCATGAAAACACTCAAGGAGTTAACAAAGAAAACCAGTCTAATTTTCAGATTTCTGTGTAGAGAAATGATTCTCTCAGACATTACAACCTAGTTAAAGGATCACTTTCAAATTTCAACAAGAATTGTTTGGGATAGTAGTTTAAAGACAAAAACTGTCTAAGGCTCCTTTGACATTTCAAATATGTAAATGCTTTACCATATGTTTTATAGCTTGTTTTCATAAAGAAATTGGCACTGGGCTGATTAGGATGTACTGTCTGCTACTTACTACTCAGCATGTTTTTATCATAAAGGTAAACCTCGGTTTTCTCTCATTTAAAATAATTTTTTATTTATTTATTTATTTATTTATTTATTTATTAAAGATTTCTGTCTCTTCCCCACCGCCGCCTCCCCTTTCCCTCCCCCTCCCCCAATCAAGTCCCCCTCCCTCGTCAGCCCAAAAAGCAATCAGGGTTCTCTGCCCTGTGGGAAGTCCAAGGACCACCCACCTCCATCCAGGTCTAGTAAGGTGAGCATCCACGAAACTGCCTAGGCTCCCACGAAACCAATAGGTCCAGTAGAATCAAAAACCCGTTGCCATTGTTCTTGAGGTCTCAGTAGTCCTCCTTGTCCGCTATGTTCAGCGAGACCAGTTTTGACCCAGGCTTTTTCAGACCCAGGCCAGCTGGCCTTGGTGAGTTCCTGATAGAACATCCCCATTGTCTCAGTGTATGGGTGCACCCCTCGCGGTCCTGAGTTCCTTGCTTGTGCTCTCTCTCCTTCTGCTCCTGATTTGGACCTTGAGATTTCAGTCCGGTGCTCCAATGTGGGTCTCTGTCTCTGTCTCCTTTCATCGCCTGATGAAGTTTAATATTCAGGAGGATGCCTATATGATTTTCTTTGGGTTCTCCTTCTTATTTAGCTTCTCTAAGAACCCGAATTATAGGTTCAATGTCCTTTATTTATGGCTAGAAACCAAATATGAGTGAGAACATCCCATGTTCCTCTTTTTGGGTCTGGCTTACCTCACTCAGGATGGTGTTTTCTATTTCCATCCATTTGCCTGCAAACTTCAAGAAGTCCTTGTTTTTTACTGCTGAGTAGTACTCTAATATGTATATATTCCATACTTTCTTCATCCATTCTTCAATTGAAGGGCATCTAGGTTGTTTCCAGGTTCTGGCTATTACAAACAATGCTGCTATAAACATAGTAGAGCATATACTTTTGTTGTGTGATAAGGCCTCTCTTGGGTATATTCCCAAGAGTGGTATTGCTGGGTCCATGGGTAGGTTGATCCCAAATTTCCTGAGAAACCTCCACACTGCTTTCCAGAGTGGTTGCACAAGTTTGCATTCCCACCAGCAATGGATGAGTGTACCCCTTTCTCCACAACCTCTCCAGCAAAGGCTATCATTGGTGTTTTTGATTTTTGCCATTCTGACAGGTGTAAGATGGTATCTTAAAGTTGTCTTGATTTGCATTTCCCTGATCGCTAAGGAAGTTGAGCATGACCTTAGGTGTCTTTTGGCCATTTGAACTTCTTCTGTTGAGAGATCTCTGTTCAACTCAGTGCCCCATTTTATAATTGGGTTGATTAGCCTTTTACGGTCTAGTTTCTTGAGTTCTTTATATATTTTGGAGATCAGACCTTTGTCAGTTGTGGGGTTGGTGAAGATCTTCTCCCAGTCAGTGGGTTGCCTTTCTGTCTTAGCAACAGTGTCCTTTGCTTTACAGAAGCTTCTCAGTCTCAGGAGGTCCCATTTATTCAATGAGGCCCTTACTGTCTGTGCTGCTGGGGTTATACGTAGGAAGTGGTCTCCTGTGCCCACGTGTTGTAGAGTACTTCCCACTTTCTCTTCAATCAGGTTCAGTGTGTTTGGACTGATATTGAGGTCTTTCACCCACTTGGACTTGAGTTTTGTGCATGGTGATAGATATGGGTCTATTTTCATTCTTCTACAGATTGACATCCAGTTTTGCCAGCACAATTTGTTGAAGATGCTCTCTTTTTTCCATTGTATACTTTTAGCTCCTTTATCGAAAATCAGGTGTTCATATGTTTGTGGGTTAAAGTCAGGGTCTTCTATTCGATTCCATTGGTCGACTTCTCTGTTTTTATGCCAATACCAAGCTGTTTTCAATACTGTAGCTCTGTAATAGAGTTTGAAGTCAGGGATGGTAATGCCTCCAGACGTTCCTTTATTGTATAAGATTGTTTTGGCTATCCTGGGTTTTTTGTTTTTCCATATAAAGTTGATTATTGTCTTCTCCAGATCTGTGAAGAATTTTGATGGGATTTTGATGGGGATTGCATTGAATCTATAGATTGCTTTTGGTAGAATTGCCATTTTTACTATGTTGATCCTCCCAATCCAAGAGCAAGGGAGGTCCTTCCATTTTCT